AAATCATTTAATTAGAACTTTACTGCAACAATGGCTCAAAATTAAAAAAATCCACTATGAAGAAACATATGAAATAGCAGTTAGCCTTATATACCGCTTCATAGGGCTTTCAGCCCTCTCTAAGCGGTTTACAGAGTCAGCATATTGCCCCCACAGTCTGGGACCTCATTTCACCCACCTTGGAAGGATGGAAGGCTGAGTCAACCTTGTGCCGGGGAGATTAGATCCGCTGAACTGCAGATAACAGTCAGCTGAAGTGACCTGCAGTACTGCACCCTAACCACTGCGCCACCTTGGCTCTTGCAGATCAACAGCTGTGTACAGATGTCCAATCTCCCCCCCACCTTTTTATACAACTTGCAGAATTCCTTAAGAGTTGCATCACTAAATAAGCTGGGCAGCTGTGTCCCAGATTCCGTTAGGAAACTAAAGATATTTAGCAGATTTAAAATGAATTCCAGCCATGCAATACCAGAGGGGGTGGGGGTGGGGAGAAATACCCCTTTACTTCCAAGACCTCAGATTTATCATTCTGCTAATCTGTGGCCTTCAACCCTCAAAACTAGTGTTTTGGGGTTTTTTTTTAAGTTTGGCTGATGACTAAGATGAATTAAGTCAGGGGTCAGCAACCTTAAACACTCAAAGACCCACAAAGGTCATAACCGGAAGTCCCCCCCTCCCCAGTTCAATTCTAGAGCTGACCAGAAATCCGGTTTCCCCACCATAGAGTCTCCTAGCGCAGCGTCCTTTTTCCTCTACCTGTCCTAACCGAAAGCCCTATCAATTGTGGAGCCGACCAGAGACAGGGAGCTGCAGCAGAGGAATCTAAGAGCCACATGCGGCTCCAGAGCCGCAGAATGCTGGCTCCTGAATTAGGTCAACTGAGGCTCACGGAGTTATGCTTTTGGGCCTAAGAGAGGAAATTGAATTGAAGGACGCGTCCTCCGATAGAGCGAGCCAACTGGAATAACAAATTTACACATGAAGAGATTCCACCCCACCTCTTGCTCTCCGAACCAAAGACTTCCTGGAGTAAGAAGAGGCTTGTGAGATCAGGTCAAGCAGATGCCACCAGGGAGCTGAGAAGTCCAATCAAGAAGACCTGCTGGAACTCCACAGCGGTTGGCAGCTCAAGGCATCCTGCCTACCCGATCTCCTCCCACGCTACACACCACAAGAGAAGTCTCTGTCTTTCTCTACCTTCTTAGGAGGTTCTTGCTTCTGTGTGTAGATGTTGGTCTTCCCAAAGCCTTGTCCAAATTTGACCACAGCACCATCCACAATGAACGTCACTGGAGCATTCTTCAGCTGGTGTTGGTAGAAAAGGAGAAGGCCACACCTGGAAAGGAAGTGACCGCATGTTTTATTCCCTACCCCTAATAAACAAACAAACAAACAGACTCCCTGAATTTGATATAGCAATAGCACTTAGACTTATATACCACTTTACAGTGCTTTACAGCCCTCTCTAAGCGGTTTACAGAGTCAGCATCTTACCCCCAACAATCTGGGTCCTCATTTTACCCACCTCGGAAGGATGGAAGGCCGAGTCAACTTTGAGCCTGGTGGGATTTGAACTGCCAAATGGCAGGCAGCTGGCAGGCAGCAGAAGTAGCCTGCAGTACTGCACTCTAACCACTGTGCCACCAAAGCTCACATCTTAGCTCACTTCACCTGCTAGGTTAAGCCTCAGAAGTTCATCTATAAGTTTATGGATGAATTGCAATCATTTCACCCTTCTCTAATCTGGGCCTACAGTGGAGCCCAAGTTCCTCCCACAGTTAGGAAGTTCAGTTAGTAGAGAAGACACTCATCTGGGGATGCAGAGAAATTTGCATTAGGGTCTTCTGGATGCCATCTTAACCACTACATCACACTAGATTTAGATCCCCTTATTTATTTATTTATTTTTCTTTGGAGAAATAGTTGGCTGCATTAGTGCACCAGATCACAATCACAATATTCTTTTATCACTGGAAATAAGATTTGTTGGCTGTTTTGGTCTTCTGAACACTTCTTCTCAAATCACTTACTTTCCACATTTTTTCCTGTATTGCCGTTCAATGCCTTCAGGTCTAGGTAGGGAAGAAAAATAGGTAAGTACGTGTTACTTTGCTTAATCTT